GCGCCGCCTGGCCTTGCCGGGCAGGGGAGGAGGCCCGGGCTCACTCAGGGTACCTGGGGTGCCGCGGGGATAGGAGGCGTTGCGGGCCCGGTCCCCCTTAGTGCAGCCACCTCCCGGGGTGGGGGAACCGCCTCTGTTCTCTTCAGGGGAAGGCCGGAAAACTTTTCGGGGCTTAGTGTGCTCTGCAAAGATACAGGTTTAATCGGGCCTCTCTGATAATGTTGTGGCTGCCTCTAAGCGGTCAAAAATAGGAGGAGGGAAGAAAACCCTGTTCACACCCCCACCTAAGGAGATTTAGGGTTTCATGTCCCAGAATTAAATGTTATTTGCATGGGAGTACTGTGAGATCAAAACTGCAAAGTGGGTGAGAAAACGTGTTCAAGGCTTCCCCCAGGGAGAGGAACACTTTCCGACATGACAACCTTCCAGGAAAGAAGGAAAGATGCACCTTTTACTGAAGATTTTATCAGACAGTATTAACTTTGAAATACAACTTTATTAGTGCTTAATGAGACTCTCACATTCCCACACATCGGGTGAAACCTTTCCGATTCAAAGGGTTAAGCATTCCCTGGAGGACTGAACAACTTGGATTTTTGTTTTCTTTGACCAAAATCTCTTTTGAACAGCCCTCTAGACTGCTTCCCATAAAGCAACACAACCAGGACTTGCCTGCAGCAGAACTTACATATTGGCCTGAAATATTTTTTCTGAAGAGTTCCTGAAGAAAGGTGTTTTTCAATTGAAATGACTACATTGTTGGTTTGTCTTAAAAGTATTTAATTTTCGGGGTTTTTTTCCTGATACTACATCAATATGTAAATGTTGGCCAGCATTTGGAGTTGGGATAGCGTAAGGATGTGAAAGAAGTTTTCGTTTCTGTCGCTCACCAAGACAGTGGTATGAGTGAATTCTGTTGCTGAGAATTCTAACACTTGACATGAATCACCTCATGTGGACCATAGAAGCTTCTGAAGATCCAATATCTGGCAGTTACTGGTAGCTAAACTGTCCTGAGTTGATTCAGTCAGACCAAAAAATGGCACAAATTCACTGGTCTCTCTTACCACTATGTTAGTAATTAATACCAGCAGTGATAGTGAACTTCTGATTTAGCGCAGGAGGAAAACTTCTGAGCTGGTATTCATAATTTGGGTTTTCCTCCATTGGATCTTTAAGTATAAATCTTGCACTTTTTTGTTTGTTATTCATTCATAATACACATATTACATCCAACTGTTACAACCTTATTTTTTTTAAGAATAGATTTGTTTTACACTGAAATGAGATGTCCAAATCATGTATAAATTATTAGTAGTATAATTACATAGTTTTTCTTCTGTATGTGTTGTAAACATTTGTCCCCTTCTTATTTCTCACTTATTTTTCTTTGGTATCCAGGGACAATCAGACTAGACAAATACAAGATGCTGTTTCAAATGTGGAAAAACATTTTGGTGAATTGTGCCAAATATTTGCTGGATATGTACGTAAAACTGCCAGACTACGAGACAAAGCAGATCTCCTAGTAAATGAAGTATATGCGTATGCAGCCACAGAGACACCAAACTTAAAAGTTGGACTGAAAAACTTTGCAGATGAATTTTCCAGACTTCAGGACTATCGCCAGGCAGAGGTATAAAATTAAAGCTGTACATGTCGTGTTTGCCATCTGAACTTTTCAGTTACTTATTTGTGATTAAAAATGGAAAAGATATACTCTGCAATCAAAGAGTAACATAGGGGAAGATACTTTAAAATGTATTGGTGCAGAGCAGGACAGGCTGCCAAAGCATTCATCATTTACTCTGCTAATAACTTCAGTGAAAACTGCTTGTGATTAGTCCTGCTGAGGTCAGTGAAACTATCCGTATGAGCACCCATACACATAAGACAGAGAAAGTCTTCTATTTGTCTTAGGCTTTGGATTATGATTTATGGTTAATAAAGTGTTCTTTTAGTTTTGTGACTTGAGTTGTCCAGTGGCAGCTGAGGTAAAATCAGTCATTTTCCTTTTGCTGAGCCTGTTATCAGAAGCAGCATGGAAAAGAATGCTAACTGGAATGCATCACTGGGCACTGACAGCCTCTCTGAGGTGCTGTTGGGGACCACTATATATTTTGTAAGCCTGTAGTTCAATGCTAGAAATACAAACTTGATTTGGACCACATGTGACAACATTGTCACGTTTCTGCTCAGTAAGTGAGAGTGTAACAAAAGGTGTTTATGACACTTAACACATCTATGTGCAGGGCCAGTCAAACTCTAATTTATGATCCAGAATTCCAAAGATTCAGGAAAGAATAAATTCATTCGCATATACTCAAACTAGGTTTTAAAGTACATATCTATTCTTTCTGTAGGGCACAGAAAATTCCTGGTTATAGTTTGGGAAAGCTAAGAAGTACTATAATTAAAAAAAAAAACCAACCCTGAAGTAGTTGTCATTCTCGATGTTTTCAGATAGGACTTTTATTTTTAAGGAAGCATTTCAAGTCTTTCTGTATTAACAAAGTAGAAAAAGAAAACCTTTAAAAAGAAGTTAGTAGACTGGATACCTCAAAAATTAAGTAGAGGGTTTGAAAAACAAGAAGAATGCACAGATCTTTAACAATGTATTTAGGGCCAGATTTTTAAGAAGAAGAAATCCAAGGCTGTGGATGGTGGGATTTCCCCCACCCCATAAGTACTTATGCATCTAGCTCCAGCTAAGCCACACGTAAGTCCGTATACTTCAATCAATGCAACAGCAATTTATCACTCTGTTAATGGGTTAAATTTATATTTTGTCCAAAGGTGTATGTGAAGTCAGAGTGCATGACCTATGTGTCCATTTCCACCTTTAAACAATGAATCTGTAATTTCCACCTTTAAACAATGAATCTGTAATTTAGAGGTACCTATGTAACAACTTGAGTTTCGCTGCTTTAAATTTTAAGTGTGTTTTTAAAAACATCTGGCCTATATCCTCCTGCCATGCCTGTCCCCAGGCCCCTTTTGAAGGAGAAAAGGCAGAAGCAGCAAAGAGAAGCTTTTATTTAAATCAAGTTCTCTTTTGCTTGTGAAAACCAAATAACCTCAGCTTTATTTCTTTTGGGCATCAAGTTAATAACCAGTTTTCATATACATTTGCAATGTGGGCAAGAGAAAATTAGCTTATAAGGGTTATTGATTTCTAGTCTTCAGCAGCAGTGCTAGATGTGTAAATGCTGAGGTGTGAGGTACTTCCACAACATGTTGGAAGGATAAGTAAGCAAGATGAGCAGGTTATTTGGTATGTTTGTATCACACAATTATTTTAAAACCTTACTGCCCTATTCTATGCTATTGGCAGTTTAAGTGAAATTAACAGTTTAACAGTGCACTGGTAGAGAGTAGTAAAGGAGAAGTGTTTGCTCAGTCAGCAAAGATTTTGGCTGACTGGAGACTGCCAGTTTAAGAGGGGAGTGTAATGTCTGTGAATCTCTAGTAGACGTATTGCACCTTGTCCTAATTTGGATGTAACAGCAAGGGCCAGATGGTACAAAGTCAGCAGCAGCTTATGCTGGGGCCATTTGGACAGTGTATTCAGTTTTGACAAGCAGGCAGGTCTTATCCTATTGCCTGTCTGACCATATGTAGCTGTTTTTCTAAGTTGGAGAACTGAAACAATAATTCAGATGCAGTCATCTGTGAGAGCATTCATGCATTTTACACAACCTGTTACTGATACTTTTAAGATTTTCAGTACCTACGATGCTGTTTTTATTATTTTTAAGAACAGAAGTGTTGCATTTCATACAGTATGTTTGATAATTTATGGACTAAGCCATCTTTGTTATCAACAAGTGTAGAGCAAATACACTGATATTTAACTTGATACAGAAAGCTACAGATCTCCAAGATGCAGTGTTTGATGTAGTTAGTGCTCAGTTATTAGAATCTCCATGTTCCATTTACCCTGATGTATTGCCAATGAAGAAAAAGGAATTGCACTGGGAATCAGCTTAAGCTCCTCAAAACACAAATGATTTACTGGTTAATTTATTTGGTTCTGGGTTTTTGCAATATTTTTAAAACCTTCATCCCACTGTATTTTAAGCATAAATGGACTAAATTCCTAATAAGACGAATCACTAGTAAAACCATTTCCTGTATCTGCACACCATAGATGTGGATGATTTTAGTGATCTTGTGATTTCTTTTGTAGGTTGACAGGCTTGAAGCCAAGGTTGTTGAACCTCTGAAAAGTTATGGGACCATAGTGAAGCTTAAAAGGGTAGGTTAAATGTCTGTTTCCTCACAAGATACATTTTGGTGTTCTGGAAACTCGGTTGCAAACTTCTACTGTATCATAATATATATAAATTAAAAGGTAAAATGATCATTACTTGATGGTGTTTTACATACAAAAATCTTAATGTGTTCATCATAGTTAATTTGAGTACATTGTGGCATCACATCTCAAACTAGCATTTTTCATGGTTTTGTTCTTGTATCTTTTCAATACTGTGAAGAACAGAGTAGGGCGTTTGGAACTCGCTGCACAGCTGTCCTGGTTGTTAGAGAAACAGGTAGGAAGGAAATGCATCCTGCACTTGAGTGCTACTGCATGTGGTAGTCCTTAGCAGAGTTGAAGCCTACAGAGCCTGTATCCTAGAATTTGGTATCTTAGTAGTAACTCTGATATATGGTTTGTGAGACCTAGAAGTGACTGGGTATTCTCTAGCATATAAATGTTGGGATTGGAAAACAAGTTTAATGCGCTTGTGACAGCATTGCTGAGGAGACACAGAGCACTACTGCAGTGCTTGGGAATTCCAGTGCATTAAAGATACTGTCTTGAGATGCATCACCACTGATAGCCAGTAAATGTCGAGGACAGAGGCAACTGAAGCGAGGTCATCCCTTGTAACAGTGTGTGGCATTTCCTGTTGTCCCTGCCTGTCACAATGCCAGAAATAAATGCCAGCATTATGTAATGTTTATCTTAGCTAGCAAGTACAAGAGCATTCTTTAACTGTAGGTGGGATTAACTATTTTATCAACATACCTTTGAACTAAGAGAGGCTTCACTAAATGTAGGCCATTAAATGGTTCTATTCCCTATCTCCAGTCTCCTCCCAGTTACCATAAACCTCAGCTAAAACTTCAACTGTCTGATCTTCAGTTATCATCTCTATCCACTGGGATATTTTTAGTGAAAAAGGAAATTTTGTCACTCATGTTAAGCTAGCACAGGTTGCTAACTGCAGACTGCTTTACCTGTAACTCCATGAGCTGATTTAAGTAAAGCCACGCAGAACATGTCAGTATACCATGTTATAAAAAGGGGATGTTCTCACTGCTACTTGTTGGAGCTGTTCCAGGGTGTCTACAAACTATTTCTGTGCTCTATCTAAGAAGAACTGTTGCTGCTTCTGTTGCGTAAGACGGGAATGTCTTGTGGTATCAAATGCTTTAAAGAGGCCCAGGGCAACCAAAATAGTGTTGGCCTTTAACCGCCATCACAATAAAATTGTTTCATTCACATGTCCAGGTTTACTATGCTAAGTAGCTATTTGGCAGCTTCAGTGGAAGCTAGTATAATATTCTTGTCCTGTAGTGCAGCTTAAATGTAGGATTCTAGGATTTCTGTTTCATTGTTCTGTGTATCAATCTTCACTTTTCTGCTTTTGGGCGACTGTTTCTGGATCCTTTTCTTCATGTAAAAACAGGACATCATAAAACCAAGGTGATCCAGAAGAAAGGATTGGTTTGCTTTAACTTCAGTGACTAAAGCAGGTAACAGTACAGTGATGAGAATCTGCCAGCTCCTTGTCTGGTGGATGGACTGTAGCTGTATTTCTGTATGGTTTGAAATTAGATGGGTGACCAGAGTTCTTAAGAACTTGAATTCATAGTTCAAAGCCAGAGGGACTATGAATAATTTTGTATTCTCTGTACTTGTCCTTTATCTCACTGGCTATTCCATCCTGTTTCTCCTTGGGTATAATTAAAGTATATTTTCCAAAATGTATCAAATCTTTGTCCGAAGACACTGAAGAGGAATGTAGGAGAGTTTGTGGAAGTTAGTGGTTAGTTGATGTTAGTGGTGTTTTGTTTTAAATGAAAGAGTTCACCCAATCTTTGGTTCTTGTTATATGTTCCACTGAGATTAAAGAGCTCTGTGATGGTCTGTTTTTTTTCTGGATGAAGGTATCTGGATGCTTGTAAAAACAATTTTTCATTCTTTTCAGTTAGCTAGTAATTTAGCCCTTAATTCCTTCACCATAATGGCATTTTCCCAGCTTCTGAATATTTTGTTTGGGGCTTGTTTTCTGCACCTTTTTTGATTGTTCAGCATCCTAGACAAAATATGAATGTAATTGTGCCCTACCTTTGTACATCCAAGACTTGTATGTAGCTCCACCACTATATCCACAGTAGTACCAAATCTTTGTCAGGCTTTGGCTAGCGAAGAACTGCGTTTGATGGCAGCTGTTGCTACAGAGGTCAGAGGTAGAGAAGGGAACAATGCTGTCCCTGTAGGTACTTCCAAAGTCACTATGTGCTAGTAAGAAAATGCTGAACTTGATAATGGTAACTCTAGAACTCTTGTGGTTTCCTTACAATTCTCAACTGTACACTGCATGGAAGTCAGAACTTTCAGCTACAACTTTAAATCTGATTGCCTGGGAAGTCAGTGCTGTTAGCAGGGCCATCATTAAATAACATTAAACATGCAGCGGCAGTCATGAAATAAAAACCTGCTTTGTTCAATCGCAAAAAATAAAGCTCTTCCTCTTCTCTACCTTTTAATTTTAAAATGTAATGCTTTTTTTTATTTTTCTCTTATTGCTCTTCTTGCATAGTTTTCATATAGGAGAAAGCCCTCTCCAGCAGTCTTTCAGATGGCCTTAATGGTGGTATAAACTCCCTCTCGAAAGAACAGCGGCAAAATTAGTTTTGAGGGGATAAAGATACAGTTGCTTTTATTATAAGAAACTATCTCTGTGTCCCTAAAGATGAAGCAAAATGACATGTAAACAGACAGTAAGGATAGAAACAATGAAGAAGCTGCATGTTTTGACCCTGACCTCATGTACAGACTAACTATTGAAGAAACACAGCATGCGGAAACCTGGCATGTTTGTGCTTGTCACTGACGAGTGATCTGGATCACAGGTCACAGGATCACAGGACTTTTCAGAGATACATTCTTGGTTGTGCGTCTTTACGTGTGAAGGAGACCTACAACTATGTTTAAATCCTGAAATCCAAGGAAGGAACACAACTTCCCAAGATGGTAGTTTTTAACATCTTTAATCCACTCTGTGCTGGCCTTTTTAGAAGAAATGATGTTTTGAAATGCATGCCCAACTCCTGCCTCAGATTTTGTGAGACTTGATTCCCTTGGGCTGTGTTTCCACTTGTTCTAAGGCACCGTTCCTTTAAACTAGAGCCATCAAAATTAATGAGATTTCCTATACCAAGGTCAATGGAGTGGTAAACATCTGACTGACAATTTTAGATTCCATGTATGCCAAACTATTTGCAAAACACAGTTTTATAGGATGAACAAGAATTTGAGAGTTGTATGTAACCATTCTTAAACGGTCACAGATCTTCCTGCAGTACATCCTACTTTGGAAATGAGCATAAATATTTAGCAACAGTTTCTGCCTTTTCTAGATCAGCTACATCATTACTAGGATGTATTTTGTTCCAAATGTATTTAGTCACCTTACTAACTGCATATATAAATATGCAGTTTAACCCTTTCAGTCATGGATTTTCTATGGCACCTTAAGCTCTGTGTAACAGTTTTGTGTTCTTAGTAACTTCTGATTGGTATTGACTGTGGCCTGTTTTGTTTTTTTTTCTTACTGATGTATTAAATGCCACTTTTTATTTCTAAGTGGCATCTTTATTCCATTGCTAAGTCTGCAATGGGCCTGTCTTTGTGCTTTGGGGATCTCAGCTTTTGACCATGTACTGTGCTTTTCACAAAAAGCAGTATTTTTTTTCTTTTTTCCCCCAACATTTTAAATTATAGTGTGTGCTACAGAAAGTTGTGCAAGGTGCTAAACTCTCTTGATCTCCACTGACTTCTCAGGATAAAAATCAGTAAAATCTGCTTTTATTTAAAGCAGAAGCTTCATTTATGTTTTCTAAGCAATGTAGGTATGAAGAAATGTGCATTTTTGTATTATCCTAGATCTATTCCAAACATGTCTAAACCATTCTATTTCCAGAATGATCTTAAAGCAACTTTAACAGCAAAGAACCGAGAAGCCAAGCAATTGTCTCAACTGGAAAGGACACGTCAGCGGAATCCATCGGATCGACACATTATTGTATCCTGTATTTCTAGTGGTTATAAGAAACACTTTTAAAAATTCTCAGGAATTAAACTAATATATTTAGAAAGTAATATGAGAAGAATGCTCTTCAGAGGGACTGCTTCCTAGACTGATGTTCAATCTTTCCTTAAACCTTACAATGTTATTGTAAGTTACAGCTTACAAAAGCTGCTTTGTTAGTCCCTTTCTGATTAAAAAGAAACTACAACGTATTCAATATGTTTATGCAGGAGAGGTAGGCACAGATGACATCTAAGGATTTGGAGGTTTTTGAAACTGTAATCAGACAATTCCTTTTTTACTTACATGGTTTTTTTGGTTTATTTTTTAACTTGTCACTTTGGTAGTTGTTGTGCCTCCTTGTACCTAGATGATGTTCTAGATGGGGTGTGACTTCCCTCCAACTGAGATGAAGCATGAAAAGTTGTTACTTTGTTAGTAGAATACTCAGCCAGACTACTCCTCCTTTCAAAAGACCAGTAAAAGCTGACCTCCCCAGTATGCTACTAGGTGTCACAGAAGGAAAAATTAAGCTTCACAGAATTTTCATTAAAATCTCACTGAAGTTTCAAATTCTGAATGAATCAGAATCTAGGGAATGCCAAAATAAAGGGGATCAAGGCAGTCCTGCTTCAGTCCCTATATTTATTATGATACAGCATTTAAGTTTATGATGATGTGCTGTTTATTTTTTATTACATTCTAGTGTTGGACTCAGGAGTGAGGCAGTCCTAGTCTTTGTTGGATTTCATCAACTTTATTTCAGAAATTAGGATCTTTCTAGTGCTTGGGGCAGAGGACTGCAGAAAGAGCAGAAATGACTGGTGGTCAAATGCTACCCAGGGGAATTATGTTTTATTTTTGTCTCTGCCAAAGAATTACCATTTAGTATTTATCAAAGCAGTTAAGTGATTACTAATTAGAATTCCTCATGTAATAAAGACACACAGATGTCGGCCGTAGGATTAAAACTTGAGCTGTGATGCAGAGTTCTTTTCCATTAGAAGTAAATGCCTACAGTAAGCTATTCTCCCCAAAGGGAGACTGGGCGCATTTTTCTCCCTCTTGTGCTAATTCCCAGTTGATTTCATGGGTACATGGTTGGCACCAAGCTTTATTCTTCTTGTCTCTTTGCTAAGCAACTCCCAAATATCCTCCTGTGGCTGAGCTCCTTGTAACACCTGTGTTTTCTGTACTTCAGACTCTGCCTGAAGAGTTATTAGATCTCAGTATAGTCTGGTTTTGCGTATGGCCAGAGGCACCAAACGCCGCATATCTGCATTTTAAAGTGATCAACACAAAATGCATAAAAAGTACTGGGAGCGGGAATATGTTCATTTGCTCTTGAAGATGTGTGCAGGTCAGCTTTTACATGAGTGAGGCTTCACCATGTTCGTTAGCACAGCCGCTAGGCTCCAGCAGTGGTTCTCTTATTCTTAAGCAACTGTGACGTTTCAGCAGCTAACAATTTTGGCCACAGATAACACAGCATCTGTACTTACTCCCAGACTTCATGTCTACCTTATAAAACATAGGGGTAGTACAGCTTTGAAAAGCAAACCTTGCTAGATTTTTTGAAAATACAAAAATGCATTTTTAAGCATCAAAATTATTTTTATCCTGAAAAGGTCCACCCAAGTTATCTGGTTATTTTTATTACTATTATTATCATTATTTAAATAAATAAATAACCAAACCCTTAGTCCAAGACAAACAGCTGTCCTGAAATATTCTGGCCTGGATACTTGAATTCTAGCAAAGCTGGAACAAACTGTAAGTAATGTTTTACAGCAGGAAGCTTCAGACAACAACATAATAGCACCCTCCACACATACGGAAGTTTTGAAATACCCGAGGTAGATACTTCACAATGTTTTAAAAGTAGAAGTGCAAACAGATACTTCTGTGAATATTGTTTTGCCATTGTTTTCCTTTACTAGTATTTCCAGTCACAGGTGAGTGCTCCAGAAGAGAAAATACCAAACTGCTGTTGTGCAAACTGCAGGTTCTGCAAGTTTAGACACTTCACTCTGCAACAAACAAAATTCCTTTCCCAAAGCATCTGCGCACAAAATCTGGCCAGTCTGTTTAAGATGGATTGAGAAGATACATGTATTTATCCTACAAATAACATGCTGTATTTGCATGTGTAAGGGCTGCTTATGCATAACAGCTGCCTTCATTTACAGAGAGTGACTGAGAGTAATAATTGAGAATTCACAAAATGTCTTTCCTTACTCTGCTTCCCTCCTCTGTTGGGGAAAAATTGAGAAAGGGGAATGAACATGTGACCTTAAATACTACTGAAGATCATTATCAAGTTTGTTTGGTAATGGCAGAATTGTGCCTATGACTTTAAGCCATTTTTGTAAGATTGTTTCATATTGGTAATCATGTAATGTAAGGTTAACAGATTTTAATCAGAAAAAAAGAAGAGACAGAGCACACTTTATGCCTTATGTTTTCACATACCTGTAACACTAAAAACTAGATCTGAGAAGAATCCTACATCTTGATTGTAGGATTCACTTACTTGATCCATATACTACTCCCACATCTGAGGACAAAATATATTATGAAAATACTCACCGACAGAGGCTGTAAGTAAATATTGTCTTCACTAGTTTGTTTTACCAGTAATGCATGGAAAATAAATTTAGACCCACATTTTGCAGTCTTCAAGTGCAAGCTCTTACATCCTTACATCATTACTTTGTAATAGTACAAATAGTACACAGTTCTCAGACTTTACTTAACCAGAATAGCTTCAATACCTTTATTTAAATGGTAGTATGCATTTCTATAGTTTGTAGTTATATCTAATTAAAATACATATCTAAAATGCTTTTTGAAGTAACAAAATAAGAAAAACTGTATTTATGCATCAGGGATTGACTGGTGTGTCCACTTCCCAGTGCTCTGTTGATGTTTTTTATAAAATACGTAATATAAAAATATACCTGAAATGCTTTTAGATCTAAAAATTGTATTAACTCTAGTCTGTTGATTGAGATACTTAGAGGAGAAGTGCATTAGTTCCAGCTGCTGCTCTATTGTATATTTAAATAATTTATAAAAACTTAGGAAGACGAGGTTCAGCACATGCAAAAAGACTCATCCTAGACCCAGCAGGCTGATCTGCACTTGAAAATGAAGGGTGATCTTTTCTGCTCATCCACCACTCTGGCCTGGGCACTCCTGCCCTCTCCTTTACACCAGCTTTAAAAAAACCCTCAACTTTTCTGAAGGGTAAACCCTTGTGCTGGGTTAATTCCCTGAACCCAGTCACTGTTGTCAGTGCAGTGTCAGGGCTGGCTCGGTGGAATTAGCAGATGACTATTACCAGAACATAGGACAGTGGGACTTTTCCTGACTGGCTGCAGCTAGTCATTTTTCACATTTCAGATCAAAGTCACAATGGGGTGGAAGGCATGTTTATTTGTTTATTAAGCTACAAACAAATTTACAAATACAGTAACACAGATGTGTAGTAGTTTGAAAATCCAGACTTAAGTGTTTTCACAGCAATTAGAGCAAATATCTTGGTATCAAATATGGGACTAATTTCACCTTTATGTTACCTTTACCAGGCTGAAAGTGAATTGCAGAGAGCTTCACTGGATGCTACTCGAACAACTCAGCAATTAAAGGAAACCATTGATAACTTTGAGAAACAGAAAATAAGGGACATAAAAGTACGTGTGCTCACATTTCAGTGTGACATAACATTTCATCTTGCGTAATAAAATTACTATACTCACTCTTTGGCAAGATTAGCAACATTTAGTATTAACTTAAGCCTACATAAATGCAAATCTTGTGGTATTCATGAATATTTCATAATCCAAATATGTTGAAGTTTTCAATTAAAAAATCAATTCATTATTCTTACAGTTTAGTGAATTCAGAGTTTTCCTGTATCTAATTGTTTAGCGCTTCCACCTTCCAACATTTGCTGTGTTCTACTTTACTGGTAGCTGCATTTGTTAGTGGAATGATATACGTGGATGAGTATCAACAAAATTAACAGAAACAGTGATAAGTAAAAAATGTATTTATCCATGCTGAAATTTGTGGGGGTTACTCTAGTTAAAAATTTTACTGATGACAAAAGCGCAAAATGTTTAGTGACTGCAAGTAATCAAAGCCTTCATTTCTCTCTTAATATCAAACATTAAGTGGCGTTAAGTCCCAAAGATGATAGTGACTGAAAACCACTTGCGTTATGTGATCTCAGATTTAATTAGAAAATTGCTGATGTGAGATACTTTTTTCTTGGAGGGGAGACAGACTAAATATGGAAGAATGAAAGATGGTTGGAAAAAAAAAGCCAAACCAACAATGTAACTTGATGTTACAGTAATATAGAAAAGATTGCATGAGATCTGAAGATGTCATCATTAAGTACGGTTTTTATATATAAAGTGTATTTTGTTATATAAAATACATCATTATCTGTAAATTATATATATATATAATTTAGAGATAATTTATCCCCAACCTGTTAAAAAAGATTGCCACCAATAAAGCAAAAAATCCACTGACTACATCTTGCAAATACCTATCAGGGAACATAAAGTGAGTTTTCAGCATGACATTTTATTTATTCCTAATGAGTCTCCTCTTGCTTTTTGAGTGTTTACTTAGAATTGATTATGAAACAACAGCTGCGCAAGTGACGGCCCAGCCAGCATTTATGTTTGATTTCTAAAATTCAGGTCCAACTACTTAAAATTACTTGCTATTGTGCAGTTAATTGTATCACATAACTACCAAGTACAGAATTCAGAAATTTCTTGAAGTGAACATGTACTTTACTGCATTAAGAAAACCTTTGTTTTTGTTTGCTTTTAGAACATATTTTCTGAATTTATAACCATTGAAATGTTATTCCATGGGAAAGCTTTAGAGATATATACTGCTGCCTACCAAAATATCCAAAATATTGATGAAGAAGAAGATTTAGAGGTAAGAGTGATTAAGATTTGCTTTTCAATTTACATACTACATAAAAGCAGTTTCTGCACTTAGGGACTATACATGTCCGAGGCAGAAACGTGTGTTTCAGGTTCCCAAAGCAAACTTCTTACATATACCGAGACTTTTTTGCACTTCTGCAGCAAGAGCGTGCAGGTTTATAAACTCAGAGGTGTTAAGAGAACTGCAGTGGCAATCTAATCTTTCCCACAAAACACAGATAAGAGACTTTCCTAAATTAACTGCCACTCCCAGCTCAGCTCATCATAGTTCTTAAAGAAAACCTCTGCACTGATCTCACTGTAAAGATGCACAGTAGAGACAGTCTTGCACTGCTGTGATGTTCTAAAGACTAATTATGTAATTAAAAATCTATTCTGAGTTTTATTTGCTTATTTTTGTCTTTCAGTCATTTTTTATTAGGCTATTCTAGAATTAAGTGATATTTGTGATCAGATTGCTTTTTTTACCTTGTGGCAGTTACAGCTCCCTTTCAAGTCACCATTTCTGTTCTCTGAGTTAGTCTCTCTTTCCCAAGACTGAAATCCTTTATTCATTCTTGCAGTTCTTCTGGATGTCAGGCCTTTAAACTTGTATGTTGTGTGTATGTGTTCAGCCTGTCAAGGAAGTTGGATCATTTTTGGTCTTTTTTTCCTAAATCTTATCAGTCCTTATTTGATTTTTTTTTCCTATGACACAGCTCAGGACCAAGGATAGCAGTGTTCAGTTAGTGCAAGACATACAGAACCATGATTCTTTAGTGACAATCACGTTTGAGACTGCTTGGTATTTTTACTTAATTTAAACTACACCACGGCAGTTTTGTACTATTCTAGTTTTACAATTAAAATGTCATGTGGCACCAATTCAGAAATATCCTTCAAGTCAATACATTATCTTTCACAACCAAATTTCTAATCTCCTTTCAAACTGCCTGTTAATTGGACAATGTGTATTAGTCTCTCCTGTATTCTAAGGATTTCCAAAACTTTTCTTGAGCTGCACATCTGAACATTTCAGCTGAATTTTTTCTGACGCAGCTGTGACTGGCAACAAGGATTTGCATGTGAAGGGGCTAAGAGTTCATCTCCAAGAAATGGAAACCTGAAGGGAGTCACTGGAGCTCGTACCTCTAGGTTAGCCTGAAATTCAGCTGTGTATGTCAGTGGAGAACCACTGAAGTTTTCCACCTGGTAAATCCCGTCAGATCTCTGAAGAATGTTTACTTTGACCACAGTAAATGACAGATCTCAGGCTGAGCAAGGATGTTTCAGCTACAAGTGATCAATCCAAACTATGGTTGATGCAGATCTCTATAGCAGATTTAATTGTCCAGTGCTGCATTTTTGTTAGCTTCACTCTTGGTGATTGTATCATGGCAGGCAAATCACAGCTTTCTTCATATGAACAGGTTTTTCGGAGCTCACTTCATCCACCAGACTACCAATCTCGCTTAGACATAGTTCGTGCAAATTCCAAGTCCCCCATGCAAAGAACTGGCTCCTTAAAATCTTCATTGAGAACAGTACAGGTAAGAAAGAAATTAAATGCTAGATCACTGTATTAAAAGAATGTCTTAAGGTAGAGCTTTAGCTCCATGAACATGTACATGGATCCACTATCTTTACTCAGTTCAGGACAGCTCCAAAGATAAAGAAAACTCCTGTGCACCAGGAAAGCTGTTTTTCATAGGATGTCTCCCCACTGTGAGAAAACCTTTTTGGGAGTTACGGGATTTTTTTAAACACGACTATTGCAGATGCTTAGTTTTACACAAGTTCTGAAAAGGCTATTTAAGTATTCATGACAATCCTTTGTAAATCCCCTTGTTTACTTGGCAATTTTATCTTCAGGATTTCATTTTATTGATGCAGGGTGGTATGCTGTAATTTAGGCAAAACTACAGCAGAAGAGAATGACCTTTTCCAGATATTTTAAATTAAACTTAACTATACAAGTTTTATCCACATGCATTTGATATATTCAACTGTTTTGCACCTGCCCTCTAAGACAGCAAAGGATCATTTTAACCACGGTTGAAAATGTCTGCATCCAGGTGCTCCAACACTGCCTGCTGTGTAAGACATGAGGAGGGAACTGGCATGCTTTCTGCAGCAGCACAAACAGTGAAACATGCAGCTTAACTTAAGCAAGGACAGTCACCACCACCTATGTGCAAACTTAGAGAATTAATTTTCACGTAACATTTTGAGCGACAAATTCTCAGATTCCATTAATTTTTTTTATTATTTTTTCGGCATTAAGTGATCAAAAATTGAATTTTCGTGTACTCGTATGTTCTAGCTTTCTGGCAAAATAATATGAACTCATTTCCTTTCTCACTTTCCTTACTCTGATCCTGTTTGTCTCTTAGGTTTATCTACCTCAGTACCACCTCACCGCCACCAGTGTTAGTATTTAATTTACTATTTAGTTAATTACAGCATGGTCAGAGGTACTTGAGTAAGCAAGCAGAAAAAAAGCCTTAATGCCGGAATAGCACCTCCTATTTCAGAAATAGGACTGAAGTTCTGCTTAAGAATTTTAGATGCTTTTAACTAGAAAAAAACTTGGAAAACGAGTCTATCCAGTGAAATAAAGCTACCTTAACAGGTTAAATCTGCGGCACTCCTTGATCTCCGATTACAAATCAGTGTCATTGTCTTTTTCTTCTTTCAGAGAGTAAAACATTGCTGGTTTAGGCATTCAGACTCAAGTTAACCCAGCTTCATCCAATGATTAACTCCATTTTCTGTTATATTCAGAGATTTGTAAGCAAGCATTTGCTTCAAGCTAAATTATGTACTTTGTGAGCATCAACAAGACTAAGGATTTTTCTGCTTTCATTAGTTCACTGATTGCAGTTTGCTTTATGTACGCACAAAAAAACTTTTGCTACATACATAGCTGTATGAATTATGAGATCTCAGAAGTCAATTTAATAACCAGCATTTAAGGACTTATAAAATAGGGGGTTGGTTTAAAAAAAAAAAAAGTTTTGTCTTCAATACTGAAGTTTTATTATATCACTGTGTATAAGAGAACTCAGAAAATATAACCAAAATTAGAGCTGCAGATGCCCTTAGAGAACTGC